TGAAGACAGACTGCACCCACGCTAAAGCCTCATTCCCACATCTCCAACCACCTCACACTCTCTCCCAGGCCCATTGAGGTGGACCTTCAGCCTCCTAATCTCCTCCTGGAGAAGCAAGACCTCCTCCTTCAACTCTCCAAACTCAGTTTTTAAAACACTGCAGAAGCAAGCCATGCTTTGTAACCGTCCACGCTAATCCCCAAAGCAGCTCAGGGTCTGTGACCTCACGTGACGACTGACCACTGAACACTGACTGACCACTGAACAAGTAGTTTCTTAAATTCCATCGTGTTTCTCACTTTCTTTACCAAAGGAACTTTACTAGGAACTTGGGGGCCATGGTTACTTATTTTGCAGTTGCACTTAATGTAAAACCACCAAAAACAATGAATGTATACCGAAATGTTTGGATGAATGAGCAGAAGCTTCCTCACTTGCCCAGAGAGACAGCCAAACTGATGTGCAAAGCAGCTGGGCTGGCAGAGGGATGTGTCCCATACAGCCGATAACCGTAGCTCATGAGAGGTTTTTACAAAGTAGAAGTGTTATAAGAAGAGCAGAGTATATGGAGAGTAAAAGAAAGGTGAAGAGAGTGGTGAGAGAGGAGAGGAGAGCAGATGATAGAGTGGGAGAGGCACTGTCAAGAAATTTTGATGAAAATAAGAAAAAGTTTTGGAGTGAGATAAACAAGTTAAGAAACCCTAGGGAACGAATGGATTTGTCAGTTAAAAGCAGAATAGGGGAGCTGGAGGCATTGGGTAGATGGTGGGAATATTCATGCACTGGACAGAGAGGTATAACATCTTTTAGGAGTGAAGAAGAGCAGGATGCGAGTGTGGGGAAGGTGCGTGAGGCATTACATAGAAAGGGGGTAAAGCAGCTGGAACTGATGGGATCATGACAGAAGTGTTAAAAGCACGGGGGGATATAGTGTTGGAGTGTTAGTATTTTTGTTTTAATAAATGTATGAAAGAAGGAAAGGTACCTAGGGATTGGCAGAGAGCATATGATACTGTATACTGATAATATAAGATCAATTTTGTATAGTCCCTTTATATAATGGAAGGGGGACAAAAGAGATTGTAAAAATCATAGGGGAATAAGTTTACTGAATATACCAGGAAAAGTGTATGGTAGGGTTATTATTGAAAGAATTAGAGGTAAGACAGAGAGTAGGATTGCAGATGAGCAAGGAGGGGATGTGTAGATCAAGTGTTTACGTTGAAGCATATATGTGAACAGTATTTAGATAAAGGTAGAAAGTTTTCATTGCATTTATGGATTTAGAAAACGTATATGATAGTGGATAGGGGAGCAATGTGGCAGATGTTGCAAGTATATGGAATAGGTAGCAAGTTACTAAATGCTGTAAAGAGTTTTTATGAGGATAGCGAGGCTCAGGTTAGCGTGTGTAGAAGAGAGGGAGATTACTTCACGGTAAAAGTAGGTCTTAGAGAGGGATGTGTAATGTCACCATGTTGTTTAATATATTTATAGATGGGGTTGTAAAAGAAGTAAATGTTTGGGTGTTCAGGAGAGGGGTGGGATTAAATTATGGAGAATCAAACACAAAATGGGAGTTACACAGTTTCTTATTGCTGATGATACTGTGCTTATGGGAGATTCTAAAGAAAAGTTGCAAAGGTTAGTGAATGAGTTTGGGAGTGTGTGTAAAGGTAGAAAGTTGAAAGTGAACATAGATAAGAGTAGGGTGATGAGGGTATCAAATGATTTAGATAAAGAATATTCCTGCCATCTAACCAATACCTCCATCTCCCCTCTCCCCTACTCTGTATTTAACTGACAAATCCATTCATTCCCTAGGCTTTCTTAACTTGTTTATCTCGCTCCAAATTTTTTTCTTATTGTCATCAAAATTTCTTGACAGTGTCTCTCCCACTCTATCATCTGCTCTCCTTTTACACTCTCTTCACCTTTCTTTTACTCTCCATATACTCTGCTCTTCTTACAACACTTCTGCTTTGTAAAAACCTTTCGTAAGCTACCTTTTTCTCTTTTATCACACCCTTTATTTCATCATTCCACCAATCACTCCTCTTATATACATGAATATTGAAAAGAATAACAGGGAAGCGTATAAACCCTGAGGGGAAGGAAGGCAGGGTGGGGGTTCGTCCTCGAAAAAGGTTGGAGGGAGGGGGGTTTAAAGGGGGTTTTTGTGGGCGAGGAGCTGGGATTTCCACAAGCTTGCATAGCGGGTTTATATAGGAGTGAATGGAGACAAATGGTATTTGGGCCCCTAAACGGGGTGTTGGAGTGTAGCGGGGGTAATATTTATTTTAAGGGATTCGGGGAAAACCCGGTTTATTTTTATATACCCGGGATTTCCCAGTCCTGGAAAGGGGAAGTACAATGCCTGCATTTTAAAACCCTTTAAAACCCGGGCCCAAAAACGTGATCTACGTTTTTTAAAACATTTAAAAATGTGAAAAAAAAATTTTTATCTCTTTTTTTTTGTTATATTTGAAAAATGTAAAAAACATAGATCTATTTTTGGAGCACATGAAAGTGCCCAGAAAAATCTGCTTGACATTTAAAGGGGTTAAAGGGGGGTTTTGGGATTTTGGGCATTTTTGGAAGGGATATTTTGTGTATCTTTATACTATATTTTTTCTAAACTTTTGTTTTCTGAGCACCCTGCAAAAACAGTGATTATTGTAGGAGGTAAAGAAATTTTTCATTTTGGGTTTTCTTTTTTTTTTTGGGTCATCCTCCCCTCGGGGGGAGACGGGCCGACTTTTAAAAAAAAAAATTATATCCCTTTGGGCCAAAAATCATAATAGTACTAATTTTTCTTTTATGGGGAAGGGGAAACAGAATTTTTCCCTTTTGTAAGCCATGCGTGCCCTAAGACAAACAAAATGGGCCAGGAGCAAGAAGGGTAAATAACCCCCCTTTTCCTTTATATACATATATTACTAAATTTAAAAGAAACTTTTGTTTTTTTTTTCCTTTTTTTGGGGCCCCACTGCCTTGGGTTTGGGTTTTGGCCATTTTCCCGAAAGAATTAGAATACTAATATTGGCATAAAGACTTATTGTTTTATAATCGCATGTTAAATTCTAACAGATAATGACCATGGATTTATTGAAAATACAGTATGCTAAACCTACAAAGAAAATGCAGTTTTCATCTTTAACTACTGACATAATGATTTAGAGTACATACTGGGTAGACACCACCAGATAGTGCTTTGCCAAGCATGAGGATATCTGGCTTAACATTTTCATGGTCAACTGCAAGGCGCCGTCCTGTACGTGCTAAACCTGTTTGGACCTCGTCTGCAATCCACAGTACATTGTAGCGGTCACACAGCTCCCTGATACCTGTAAATAGTTCTCATTATTGTTATATATTTAGGGAAAAGCACTAAACTTCACAACTGTTTATAACTCCAGGATACCTGTATCCACACCTCCAGTTAGTATCATCTTCATCGTTGGATAATAATCCTTAATGCCAGTACATTACCCATAGGCCCTCCCATAATTACCTGATCCTAGGTACCTATACTACCAGCTACTAACCTCAAACAGTCAAATCTCAATCCCCATACCATTTTTCTAGTTGCTGTCTTTTTCTGATTCTCACTTGAAAACTGTTGCCTTCGAATATTTGATTCATTTACGTATTTGTAGCTTTAATGGTTAAGCTGTAAATATATCTGCAATTTATCATACTTGACTAGGGGTCGGCCTAGGAAAGGTTGGAGGGAGGGGGTAAAGGAGGTTTTGTGTGCGAGGGGCTTGGACTTCCAGCAAGCATGTGTGAGCATGTTTGATAGGAGTGAATGCAGACAAATAGTTTTTAATACTTGACATGCTGTTGGAGTATGAGCAAAGTAACATTTATGAAAGGATTCAGGGAAACTGGCAGGCCGGACTTGAGTCCTGGAGATGGGAAGTACAGTGTCTGCACTCTGAAGGAGGGATGTTAATGTTGTAGTTTTATAAACTGTAGTGTAAAGCACCCCTCTGGCAAGACAGTGATGGAGTGAATGATGATGAGAGGTTTTCTTTTTCAGGCCACCCTGCCTTGGCGGGAATTGGCTTATGTGTTAATAAAAAAAAAAACTCGGCTCAAACTTGACTACCCTACATGCACTCCTAACTGACAACACACTATGCACTTGTAATTTCCAAGTGTTTTTGCTGTGTGTGTATGAGGTCTCCATAATGGTGCATAATATTTTGCAACAATCAAGGTGTTGCACACTTCTGGCAACACAGTTATAGAATGAGTGACAAATGAAATATGTTATACAGGGTTATACAGGGAAAAGTTGGAGGGAGGGGGGTCAAGGAGGATTGAGTGGAGGCAAGTGTATATATGCTGTTGGAGTATGGTAAGGTAATATTTATGAAGGGATCGGAGAAACCAGTTAGCCAGACTTGAATCCTGGAGGTGGGAAGTACTGTGCCTGTACTCTGAAGGAGGGGTGAGGATACTGCAGATTCACATGCTTTATTAGTGCAAGTTTAGTTACCACAAAAACAATAATGATAGAGCACTGACCTCTGAGGTACCCATCACTAGGAACGACAACTCCAGCTTCTCCTTGGATGGGCTCCACCATGAAGGCAGCCACTGTGGGATCTGACACAGCCTCCTGTTTGTACAAAATCATGTTAGGTCTATACCAGAGGCAATTTGAAAATGCTAAAATAAAATAAATTTAATTTTGCTGTATTGTATGTTTACCAATATTATACCTTTTTAATACCTAAATTTGTTTTTATATCAGGGGGGACATTAAATTATTTTGAGATGTTTAAGTGGGGCATGGCACAAAAAAAAGATTGGGAACCACTGGTCTAACAGTATATCAGAAATCAAATGGATTTTGGAAGTTATACCAAGACCTACTGGAGTAACATACAATACTGTTGCTATAGTTCTAAATCTTAGTGCATAATAATAATACAGTAATAATATAATTACTACAACTAAATGTACAGTGGACCCCCGCATAACGATTACCTCCGAATGTGATTAATTATGTAAGTGTATTTATGTAAGTGCATTTGTACGTGTATGTTTGGGGGTCTGAAATGGACTAATCTACTTCACAATATTTCTTATGGGAACAAATTCGGTCAGTACTGGCACCTGAACATACTTCTGGAGTGAAAAAATATCGTTAACCAGGGGTCCACTGTACAAGGTATGCAGTCCTAACTGACATCAATAACATACTACTATATAGAAAGCCCCTTGTTATGCTGAGCATTTCGGGAAAATAAGGTCAGTGTCCCAGGATGCGACCCACACCAGTCGACTAACCCAGGTACCCATTTACTGATGAATGAACATAGACATCAGGTGTAAAGAAACATGCCCAATGTTTCTACCCTGGATCCCCTCAGGGAAGGTTCCTTGATGTTGGTGAGGGGCTCTTGATTTAGGGAATTGGATCTGTGCTCCAGTTCCCCGAATTAAGCCTGAATGCCTTCCACATCCTCCCTCCAGGCGCTGTATAATCCTCCGGGTTTAGCGCTTCCCCCTTGATTATAATAATAATCTACCCTGGATGAGAATCAAACCCAGACCCCCACTGTGTGAAGCGAGAGCTTTAGCCACCAGAGCCCCTCAAATAAACATCCCCTGTTTTTCTTCACTAATAAAAAAAAAATTCTCCCCGACACAGGTATAACTTACCATATTTACCGCTAATATCATATTCATGGTGAAGTGTTAAACATAAAGGGAATATTTAACACCAAACCACTAAGCCCAGTATGCCTAAAGTGTTTTGTACCAAGTGAACCTCTCCTGTTAGCACCTTGCTATACATTATTATAAATTACTACACAAAATGTAACTCATGTTTAGATTTGCTATCAGTTCTTGAAATTTGTCATAATATTTACATTTCTTAGTAAAACAAATTGTTCTTAAATTTGAACATCTCTGGTAATGCAGCACCTAGAAATTGTCATTGGATTTACAAGTGTTAAAAATTAACAGTATGCCTCTCAAGACTGTGGTAAATATACAGAATAATCTATACATAGTGTTATAAATTTACATTAACTGATTTCCCATATTGTAATATTAAAAGTGATGGTCTTAGTACAGTATTTATAATTACAACCTCTAATGCTTGCAGGTCATCATAAGGGATGAGAGAGAAGCCAGGCATGTATGGGCCAAAGTCTTTATATGCAACAGGATCAGTCGAGCTGGAAATGGCAGAGAGTGTTCGTCCCCAGAAGTTGTTGTTAACAAAAATTATCTTGGCCTGGTTCTCTGGAATTTTCTTTACTAAATACCCCCACTTTCTTGCTAGCTTGCAGGCTGTTTCTCCTGCCTCCACACCTGCAACTCATTCAAAATGTCCTCATGTTAACTCAACAATAAATGATGATATTTTCAATATTTTAAAGTAAGTTTAGTTTATTTTGACAGATTGATTATGCACCCAAATAATCAAAAACATCATAAATGAACATGATGTGAAAAGGGACTAAGCTCCAACAGTTTGATAATTGATCATGTTACAGTAGTGTAGTAAGAAATTCTTCCTTTAACAAACCGGCAAGGTGGCACAAAAAGAAAAATGCAAGTTTCTCTTTTTAAATTTAGTAATGTATACAGGAGAAGGGGGTTACTAGCCTCTTGCTCCCAGCATTTTAAGTCACCTTTCACTGCATGTATGGCTTACGAAGGAAGAATTCTGTTCCACTTCCCCATGGAGATAAGAGGAAATAAACAAGAACAGGAACTAGTAAGAAAATAGAAGAAAACCCAGAGGGGTGTGTGTATATATATGCTTGTACATGCATGTGTAGTGTGACCTAAGTGTAAGTAGAAGTAGCAAGATATACCTGAAATCTTGCATGTATATGAGACAGAAAAAAGACACCAGCAATCCTACCATCATGTAAAACAATTTCAGGCTTTCGTTTTGCACTCACTTGGCAGGACGGTAGTACCTCCCTGGGCGGTAGCTGTCTACCAACGTACTACCTAGGGTAGTAATATATTATCTACAAAGATAAATTCTATTGTTTGCTCTACATTCAGGACCTTGTAGTGTAACACAAACCCAAACTGAAGTATCATCCTTGAGAGCTGTAGTAGCAAAATCCATGGACACAATACAGAAACAATATTCAATAAATTCAAGTGTCAATGGACTTCTGTGTAAAAATAAATCACCACCCTTTTGTATACATACATGTTGCATGTGTGTGTGTGTTTTGCATGTACAGTGGACCCCCGCATAACGATTACCTCCGAATACGACCAATTATGTAAGTGTATTTACGTAAGTGCGTTTGTACGTGTATGTTTGGGGGTCTGAAATGGACTAATGTACTTCACAATATTTCTTATGGGAACAAATTCGGTCAGTACTGGCACCTGAACATACTTCTGGAGTGAAAAAATATCGTTAACCGGGGGTCCACTGTATTTTGTGCTGTGTGCATTTTGCATGTTCTGTGTTGCAGGTGTAAAAGAAAAAGAAATGGGGTATACATTACCTGTGTTCATGGGAAGAAGCTTGTCATATCCAAAGAGAGAGGTAACATACTCTTCGTACTCGCCCAGGATATTGTTGTAAAAAGCCCTGGAGGTGAGGGTGAGTGAAGCTGCCTGCTGCTGCAGTGCTTCCAGGATCCTGGGATGACAATGACCTTGATTCACAGCAGAGTATGCACTCAGGAAATCAAAGTAACATTTACCCTCCACATCCCACATGTGAACACCTGTTGAAAGTAAAGCTTACTCAATATATGTTATATATCCCTAAGCTTATTTTTTTACCTAATCTGCTATATATCCCTAAGCTGCACTGATTAATAATTTTGGTATCTTCATAATTTGAAGAACTGTACTGCACATATTTAAAGGGTGATAGAGCACCTGGGAAATGGGAGTAATCAGAGAGGATAGATAAAATTCAAATTCACCAGCATTAAGGAATCTGTCTTGTAGGGATGGCATGATGAAAAGTATTCATTGCAAGCAGTTTGCAAATTAAGTAGGAGATGCAGTACTGTACTATGTTGTCATCAGCACATTTGGCAAGTTATTGAGGCAACTTATTTAATAAATTATTGGAGGTCACTCCCCTTGTCAAAAATCAATGAATTAGAACAGATTATGAGGACTTACATCTTTTTTATTATAATAATAATGAAGACTTAGAATGAAGCACCATTTTTCTCCACCGTAAAAGTGAAACCATAACAAAGTTACAATTCCGTTTATGTTTTTAGACAAGGCAATTAAGACCTTTCCGACATGACAGTCTCATCTCTTGAAAAGGACCCAAACCAACATAACAAATATAACTAGTTTGAAGTTTTTCCACTGGGGTCTCTAGGATACAACCCACGAATACCACCTGGTGGTTCACACTTACACTCACTCACCCATTTGACCATAAACAGAAATATTAATCTCAATCTTAAAATAATGAATCCTATGATACTCCAATACTGAAACTATGTACTGTGCCAAAACAAAAGCATTCACATTGCTAAACTCACAAACTAGTATTTAGTCACTTAGCCATAATACCAACTTACCTCATAATTTGTAATATTTTAAAATAAAGAATTAAACTAAGTCTGCCCGAAATGCCTAGCCATGCTAGGCGTTCTAGTGGTACACTCTGTAATCATTATTTAACTACATGTAAACCACACAACAACCAAATTCTGTAAATTCAACATTGTAATCTTTATAGAGAATAAACTTTGAATTTGAATTTGAATTAATGCCCAGTACTGTACTTATTTACTTATGGGTACACAGGAAAGCAAGTGTAGTGCAATTCATCATGCCTTGCTCAGTGTGCAAATCAAACCAGAGTCCTTTTGTATGAGTTGAATGCTCTACTACTGACCTACAGTAATTGTAAACAACAAAAAAAAAGTCATCCAAGAAAAACATTAGTTGTACAAAAATGCATTACACAGGTAACTCATAATTCAACTCTAAAGCTAAAAGTTTTGGCTTACTTGGAAGGTGTTCCAGGAGTCAATGCCCCCAGAACATCCTCCAGGTATACTCAAGGTAAGCCTAAACTTGTCCTGGGACGGACTGGAATATTGTCTAAGGTTTTCGCTTCAAATTGTGGGTTATTTATGAATTTTTTAAAAAAATATAATCTCAAAAACAAAAAAGTTCCCATAAAATGCATGTTTAGGGCTTAGTTTTAATTATAATAATAAATCTATAAAAAAAGGCAGATTGTTTTAAATATAATTGTTTTATAGTCTATTAAACCTACAGAATTTTTACATACTAAGACAGCAATCCCTCAAGTTAATGGTGAATATTCTAAGCAACCTCTAGTGAAAAAGAAAATCCTCACGATTTTTTTTTGACTGAGTACCAAAATATCATGATGAGACATAGTTGTAACACTTGACATTTTATTAAAGAAACCAGAGCTTTGTAGGTAAAACATTGCTTTAATAAATTGTGCTCAGTACGAAAGTGAATCTTCCCACCTGTCAGAATTGATATAGTGTACCTTTTACAGGGGACCCCGCAAACGATCACCTCTGAATGCGACCAATTATGTAAGTGCGTTTGTACGTGTATGTTTGGGGGTCTGAAATGGACTAATCTACTTCACAATATTCCTTATGGGAAAAAATTCGGTCAGTACTGGCACCTGAACATACTTCTGGAGTGAAAAAAAAATCATTAACCGGGGGTTCCCACTGTACTTGTTCAATGTATAGTATGTGCCTTTGTTGGGATATCCTTTACTAAATCTTCAGAATGTATTACTATCCTTATAAAAAATATGCATTTACTGCAAACACTGGATTTTTTTAAGAGAGACAGAGTGTGAAGATGTGACTGCTTTGTAGACAGAGGACAGAACTCTGTACGTTACAAAACTGACTAACATGTGTTTAAACACTCCACATCAATAATAATGTGTTTTATAACATTTCATGTCTTGTGGTTTCATTTTAAAACTGGTATTGTGGCATTTTCATTATTTTTGCCACTATCATTAGCGTAATGAAAGTAAAATTGTAAGTACCTTTGGCCTGAGAGATGACAACTGGGAGAGATTTGTAGTTATGAGCACCAAACTTGTATTCTCTCTCCAAAATACTGCTGAGAATGAGGTCATTTTGGACAGTTTTCAACCTTTGACCTGTTCTGGGGACTGAGTGACCGAGCTGCCAAGCCTGCTACTTGCCAAGACCTCATTAAACGCATCATCCTACAAAAAAGTAATGACATAAATACACACTGCAGCAGTCCTCTCAAACAATCATTCTCATTCTTATACCTTCAAGGGAGTTAGAGGCCTTTTGATTCAAAAGAATTGGGGCAACCCTTTCCCCTTTCCTTGGATAAAACCCAACTGCCTTCCATTTTTCCTTACCCTGTATGAACTCTGAGTTTTTTTCATGACTGTCATAAACACGCTAATATTTGTTGAATCTGTATTTAAAGCTCCCAGACCACTGGCTTTGATTAGTCTACTTAGTATTTTATAAATTAAAAAATGTTAATAAAAAATTTAAATTTATGTATTATGTCATGGGTAGAATGGATGTTCTATCAATATACATTAAACCTTCAAAAAATACCCGCATTATTATAAAATTATTTTTTCACTATCATATTGACCAGTGACCCTGAAACTATTTTTTTTTGCCCTCTTACTATTTTTAAGCCCCGTTTTCCCGCCCAGATTGAAAATCGTGGCAGCACCGCTGTCCCAAATAAAATCTTTGTCTCCATATGTACATGGTATCATTACAAGGGTAACATTGTCACCCGAGTCTTGTAAAAAAGCTTGATGAGTTTGGTGTTTCTGTTTGGGATTGTAACTTTTAACTTCACACAGTACGTAATGAGATTACCATAAGAACAAAGCAAGGAGGAACACTGTATCAGGCCTGTTGGCCCATAGGCAGGCCCTTCACAAATCCATCCTACTAACACAATATTTGCCCAACCCATTTTCAATGCTACCCCAAACAATAAGCTTTTACAGGTATACACATTAATAACGACACTTATTTGGAAGTTTTCCAGTGGGCCACTAGCAAGAAAGTAATGTTCAATGAGGACAAATTTCACTTACTATTCCCAGAAGAATGGAAGATATAAAAAAACAAAATTGAAATATAAAACAAACTCAAACCACTTAATAGAATGTCAAATTGAGAAACATGGAAATGATAATGATACTGATAAATTGGATAACTAGAACCTTCAGAAGAGATGCCAAGCCAATGATGATTCTTACCAGTCACTCATTCTCTGTAATAGTCTAGTATTGAGTACTGTGATAAATGGCTTTGAAACCAACAAGTTGAAGATTGAGACACTTATGCAACATACGGGAATCTTTATTAAGGAAATGTTTTGCCATGTAGTGGCTTCTTCATCCAATACAAAGTAGAAAAATGGTAAGGAGAGTAGTAGTTTGAGGTAATCATCCCTCAGCCTGGAATCGATGTGTTCAGTTCATCACTCTTACAGAAAGTACAGCATATGGCCGAGAAGTGGCTTATATACGTAGCCAGGCGAGTCAAAGCAGGACGAGGGGATCAGTGGAAATATCCACTAGTGTGTCGAGTTGAAAAATAAGACAGGTGCAACCATTGAGTATCTTTAATGAGGAAAAGTTTCGTTACACAGTGCCTTCAGTCACATACAAAAGAGAATGGTGAAGAACAGGAATAGTTGAGGTAATCAGTCCCCCAAGCCTCGAGTCGATGTAACTTGTCGGTTCTCTGAACCATTTATCTACGCCCCAGTGTATTGAGTACTAATGGACTCTGTCTTACAGAGGGAACTCAACAGATTCCTCAAAACAATTTCTGAAAAGCCAGGATGAGCTGCATACTCTGGACTGTGGGGGGCAGGCACTAACAACTTGATGGATCTAAACCAGAAACCAGGCCTGGTTTTAGGGCGGATGCAGAGGCAGTGACCTCTGGAAGCGACTCCACATAAAGCAAGACAAAACTGACAGAATCTGTCTGGGAAAATCCGAACTTCAACCCAATTAACATAAAAAAAAAAACCCCTAGTTAAGTTGTGTGTGCTGTATCTGTCTGTCTGTGTTTTCTCAAACCACAGTAGTCTCACGTAGACACAGCCAATGGGTCATACAAATAGGAAATGTACTATAACAAAGTAAGCAACAATTGGGTTTAATTGTTGGGGAGCGCTAAACCCGTAGGGTTATATATACAGCACCTGTGGGGGAGGTAATTCAGACCCAATTCAGGAACTGAAGCACAGATACAATTCCTAGATAAAAGGCCCCTCACCAGCATCAAGGAACCTTCCTTGAGGGGCTAGTAAGCAACAAACACTTACACAAAAATAATAGCACCATACCTGAGCTGAAGCATTCACTGGACGAGACTGGTCCTTCCTGTACGATTATAACGTCACAAGTGAGACAAGGAAAAGAGAGCAGAGGGTGTTAGTAGTAGTTGTAGTAGTAGTATTGTAGTAGTATAGTTTTTAGTAGTGTAGTTGTAGTGGTAGTAGCGGTAACAGCACAGTAGTAGTAGTAGTGAAAATGATATAGTGATACCAAACAAGATGTGGAAAAAGACACTTATGTACAGTTCAGGACAATTATTAAAGGAAACGTTTCGCCACTAGTGGCTTCTTCAGTCCCGAATTGTACATAAGTGTCTTTTCCACGGTAGTAGTAGTCTCTCTGGTGCTTACATCATGAGACTAGATGAAACAGACATGTGCAACATCTGGTTATCTTTATTTTGAAGAAGGTTCACCAACCAGTGGCTTTATCACCGCAGTACAGGGACAAAAGCAGAAGACTGAAGAAGGGATAGAAGATGAGATATGTTCACCTGCTGCTAGGCTGAAGGACTAAGAAAGAAGGAACACTGCAGCAGGCCTATTGAATCTACTGCACATGCAGGAAGATGGGAGCTTACATTCTGGAGTAGTTAGGTAAGACACATATTCAATAGTTAGGTATCTTTATTTCGAAACGTTTCGCCTACACAGTAGGCTTCTTCAGTCGAGTACAGAAAAGTTGATAGAAGCAGAAGAGACTTGAAGACGATGTAATCAGTCCATCACCCTTAAAGTTTTGAGGTGGTCAGTCCCTCAGTCTGGAGAAGAGCATTGTTCCATAGTATGAAACAATATTGTTTCAGACTATGGAACAATGCTCTTCTCCAGACTGAGGGACTGACCACCTCAAAACTTTAAGGGTGATGGACTGATTACATCGTCTTCAAGTCTCTTCTGCTTCTATCAACTTTTCTGTACTCGACTGAAGAAGCCTACTGTGTAGGCGAAACGTTTCGAAATAAAGATACCTAACTGTTGAATATGTGTCTTACCTCACAACCTGTCGGTATTTTATACCATTTTATTGTTCATTCTGGAGTAGGCCTGTCTTAACAGGCCGAGTGTTCTGACAGGTACTTTGCATGTCTATTTCAGCGCCTACCCAACCCGTCTACTTCTGGCCGCTACACCAGTCAGTACCACGATCGCCAAGCTGCTGGCTCTATCTCTACCACCCAAAACCTTCCTCTCACAAACTGAACCCCTCAAGGAAGGTTCCTTGATGTTGGTGAGGGGCTCTTGATTTAGGGAATTGGATCTGTGCTCCAGTTCCCCGAATTAAGCCTGAATGCCTTCCACATCCCCCCCCCCAGGCGCTGTATAATCCTCCGGGTTTAGCGCTTCCCCCTCGATTATAATAATAATAATAATCACAAACTGAAGGATTTGTGAAAGACCTGCTCAGTATGCGCCAACAAGCCTGCTGCAGTGTTCCTCTTTTATGTTCTTATTCTTTCCTATCCCCACTCACCCCACAAGGGCCTTGCCTAAGCTCAAGATTAGATTAGGTGCAGCAGATAAAGGTATTGTCAGTGGTAGGCGAAACTCACTTATACTTTTATACCATTTTAATGTTCGATCTGTCAGACACTGCAACACAAGGGTATCTTGGTACAGACCTGCAATCAACTTCGACAACTTCCACTAGTGAGAGCGGCTGGATTTGAGAGGGACCTGACCTTTCAACATCTGAGTTCTTACCTCTCCTAGTGGCCTACGTCTCACCTCTTGGCGCTATAAAAAGCTCCATCCTGTCACTTCATCTCCATATTGTTTCATACTATGGAACAATGCTCTTCTCAAGACTGAGGGACTGACCACCTCAAAACTTTAAGGGTGATGGACTGATTACATCGTCTTCAAGTATCTTCTGCTTCTATCAACTTTTCTGTACTTGACTGAAGAAGCCTACTGTGTAGGCGAAACGTTTCATAATAAAGATACCTAACTGTTGCATAAGAACATAAGAACGAAGGAACACTGCAGAAGGCCTACTGGCCCATGCGAGGCAGGTCCAAGTCTCCTACCGGCTTAAGCCAATGCACCCAACCTAGTCAGGTCAGGTCACATTGACTTAAGGGAGGAACACGGCAACCGACCTGTTAGCACAAGCTATCAGGTCTAACTCACACCCACCCACATCTACTAATGTATTTATCCAACCTATTTTTAAAGCTACACAACGTTCTGGCCTCTATAACGGTACTTGGGAGTTTGTTCCACTCATCCACAACTCTTTTAAACCAAACCAGTACTTTCCTATATCCTTCCTGAATCTGATTTTTTCCAACTTTAAACCATTGCTGCGAGTCCAGTCTAGGCTAATATTTTCAGCACACTATTTACATCCCCTTTATTTATTCCTGTCTTCCATTTATACACCTCAATCATATCCCCCCTAATTCTACGTCTTTCTAGAGAGTGCAGTTTCAGGGCCCTTAGTCTATCCTCATAGGGAAGGTTTCTGATACATGGGATCATCTTTGTCATCCTCCTTTGTACATTTTTCCAGAGAATTATATCCATTCTGTAATACGGTGACCAAAACTGTGCAGCATAATCTAAATGAGGCCTAACCAAGGATGTATAGAGTTGAAGAACAACCTGAGGACTCCTATTAATTTATGCTTCTTGATATGAAGCCAAGGATTCTATTAGCTTTATTGCGAACACTTATGCACTGTTGTCTTGGTTTCAGATTACTGCTAACCAGAACTCCTAAATCTTTTCGCAATCCGTAATATTAAGATCTACATTATTTAGTTTATATGTGGCATGGTTATTGTCCTGTCCAACATTTAGAACTTTGCATTTGTCTATATTAAACTGCATCTGCCACTTCTCCGACCACTGCATCAGTCTATTCAAATCTTCCTGGAGTGCTCGAATGTCCTCGTCAGAATGAATTCGACGGCCTATTTTGGTGTCATCGGCAAACTTGCCGATGTCGCTCTTTATGCCCTCATCTATGTCGTTTATGTAGATTGTGAACAGCAGGGGGCCCAACACTGACCCCTGTGGAACACCGCTCGTGACGCTTCCCAACTCTGATTTCTCCCCATTTATGCAAACTCTCTGCTGCCTATTTGTCAACCATGCCTCTATCCAGGAAAAAATTTCTCCTCCTATTCCATGTGCTTTAATTTTCCTCAATAGTCTCTGATGTGGGACCCTGTCAAAAGCCTTACTGAAGTCCATATACACAATATCATATTCATTACCATGATCTACCTCCTCAAATACCTTAGTGAAAAAAGTTAATAAATTCGTAAGGCAGGAAGCCCCTTTGTAAAACCCTGCTGAGATTCGTTGATTAATTTATGCTTTTCAAGATGGCTACCCAACTGCCCCGGCAATTATTGATTCCCTAAATTTTCCCCCTATGGGGGTTAGGGTTTTTGGTCAAGTTCGAAGCAAGGACCTGTCCCTGTTTTGAAAATGGTATCACAATTTTTTATT